CTGCCTGAGAGGCAAGGAACCAGCAGTCTACATTCAATTGAATCAGATCTGTAAAACTGATGCACACGCAACACTCAGGTTCTGGAGCAGGACTGCAGTCCAGAAGTGGACGAACAACCAGAACTTTACGCCAGAGTGTACAGCTGGTGAACGTGAAGAAGAAGAAGAATAATGAAGAGAGGTATTAGATGCAATTAGGATGGTGGGACAGCAACCAACAAGAGAAAGAACATTTAACTAAAAGCCAAAACTACAAAATTTAGGAAAAGCACTTTCTCACTCTCTCTGCAAGAAATGCTTGCAGGAAAAGCCAGAAAGTTTAAACCTTCAAAAAGATGGTTAAAACTCAATAACGAAAAGCCACAACAGTAGAACAGCCAAAGTCAGGGCAAAACAGAAACACATAAGAAATCAGCAAATCTGAAAGAAAAGAAGAAGCAAAGCAACTGGTGACAACAGAGACAAATCCAGAAGATTACATAATGACCACAATGTTCTCAACAACAAAAAACTCAGGACTGCCATGAAAGCTCTGAAGCGTGCACCAGGACCAGACAAACAACACAACACACTTGTGCACCAGGACCAGACAAACAACACAACACACTTGTGCACCAGGACCAGACAAACAACACAACACACTTGTGCACCAGCACCAGACAAACAACACAACACACTTGTGCACCAGCACCAGACAAAAAACACAACACACTTGTGCACCAGCACCAGACAAACAACACAACACACTTGTGCACCAGCACGAGACAAACAACATAACACACTTGTGCACCAGCAGTAGACAAACAACACAACAAACTTGTGCACCAGCACTAGACAAACAACACAACACACTCGTGCACCAGCACCAGACAAACAACACAACACACTTGTGCACCAGCACCAGACAAACAACACAACACACTTGTGCACCAGGATAAGACAAACAACACAACACACTCGTGCACCAGCACCAGACAAACAACACAACACCCTTGTGCACCAGCACCAGACAAACAACACAACACACTTGTGCACCAGCACCAGACAAACAACACAACACACTCGTGCACCAGCACCAGACAAACAACACAACACACTTGTGCACCAGGATAAGACAAACAATACAACACACTTGTGCACCAGCACCAGACAGACAACACAACACACTTGTGCACCAGGGACAAGGCACCCTAAGGAAACTCCTCCAGATTGTCAGCTCCATTTAGAAATAACCTCAAGCAGAAAAAAATGGCCTTCAGCTATTGACCAATTAGTCTGACCGACTGCATGTGCAAACTTAAGAAAACACTGATCAACAATAGGCTTAAGTGGTATCTGGAAAAACATGGGAATCTTGATAGATAAACAGTGTCAATTTAGAACTAGCAGGTCAACTGAGGTTCCAGCTGAACAAATATCCCAGATGATAGAAGAGGAATATCCAGAAGAGAATAGACTCACTTAAATACAATCACCAATCAGATGTTAGACCAAAACTATCCCAAAAACAGATGAATATGGATATTTGCAAAAGGTTCAGCACAGGAAGCTGTAATGGATGAAGGAGGAGGAATCCATACTGAATGGACCAATAGTGCCATAAGAGAATGCAGTCTTCCAACAAGAAAACACTCCCCCAATTACAAAATGCAGGAAATAGTGCTGGAGGAAGCAGTAGTCATATTACTCAGTGAATGTAGCTCTGAGTGAGACGTGGTTATATTGTTGTATGGATCAGTGGAAGACACGTATAACACACTACTGCCTTCATAAAGGCATGTGGTCTCAATGCACAACTACTGGTAGAGAGAATGAAAAGAAGAAGAAATCTGCATTGTGGCTGAATTAAATTTAAAAAAAACAACCTGGGTTCCAGTCAACCAAGCCTACGATGGGTAATCGGAAAACCCTAGAAAGTAAATATGGCTGCAGTGATACTGAACACATCACTCATCGAGTGCTGACTGGACAATATGCATAACAAGCTAACGGTATAAAAATTGTCCCTTAATTATTGTGTGCAATGCCGTGTGATGACTTGTAGAATGCTCTGTAGAAAGAGGCCAAGCCACATGAGACATGACACAATGAAGTCCATCTTCTCACCCTAAACACCCTGTTGACATCTTTAGTTTTTATCCTTGCATTAGTTTTTAATTTACGAGTATCTTCCATATGGAAAGGAAATAATCCCAATAGGCAGCTAAGCATTAAGTATCACATCATCGAGTACCCTGTGTGAGTTCCGGGCCCCCATTATAGGGAAAACAAGATAGACCCACTGCCTACCCAAAAGCACATCATAAGAGTCGACTAATTCGGAGCTTGCTCCAAAGTTGGAGTGCATCTGCCTGAGAGGCAAGGAACCAGCAGTCTGCATACAAATAAGTCTGTAAAACAGATGCACATGCAAAACTCAGGTTCTGGAACAGGACTGCAGTCTAGAAGTGGACGAACAACCAGAACTTTCTGCCAGACTTTACAGCTGGTCAATGCAAAGAAGAAGAAGAAGACATTGTTGAGCAGCCCTGATTTATGTAAAGAAAACAATTCACCACACAGACCCACAAATGAAATCAGATCACACACCAAAATAAATGGGTTAGTTATGCAAAGGGTAAAAAGTTCCCCCTCTTTTCCAAGAAATATTTAAAACCATCAATAAGACATAAAAGAAAAAAAAAATTGCTGAAATCACAGGAAATGTAATGGCCAGAAAGAAATATATTTTTGGAGGTATAATTTTCCCACCATTAGTTTAAACCAGGATGCCACAACCAGCAGCCCCAACTGGCAACAAAAGATTTAAAAAGAAAATGTTTCTTTCCCACCTCCTGCTGAATTTACCAGTTTCCGCAATGAGATTTTTAACCTCTAAGAAATTAATTATTCAGTTCCATTATTTCTTGAAGCAGCTCTTTTTCCCATTCTTCTTCCCCCTCAATTTCCTCACTGTCTTCTTCTGCATGGACACAAGACATCACTGTGTAGCATAGCATGTGGAGAAAATGAACATTTTTCAGTCATGATTTTGTCATTATCTAGCTATGCTTTTGTTACCTGGCCAGGTTATGACCACTGAGTTTAACTCTTAAATAATGTGATTTTTCTGCGTCGAAAAAAAAAAAAAGGTATTTATACTTCTTTTGAATTGTTATGCACTGCTTACTCTTTTACTATTAAAAGATCGTAACTGAAGCTCAAGGTGATAGAGACAATAAAATCATTGGTATCATAAACAGGAGTAAATACAGTCCAGTTAATATATTATCAACATTGTTCTGTTTTACTATTATATACCACAAAGGGCTTGCAGTCTATTCATCCATTCTATTGCCAGAATGATATCCTTTCCTGTAAGCTTCTCTTGCGGGTATGTGCGCGCACACACATACACAGGAAATAAAATCCTAACCTACAGTCTCTGGTGACAGTCCTAGCCAAGTGTCTCTAAATCCTCAAGGTCAAAACCTAAACACTTGGGAATAACAGCCCTAAATATTGGCCTTCCATACTTTAACTCTTTCAGTCCCAAACAATGTGTGATTTACTGTCCCTGTTACCATCTTGAACAGTGCCCAGCTACTGCACAATGTGTTTTCTTTCTTTGTACATTTGGTATGAGTCTACTAAGAATCTGAGTTTTCCAATATCCACTACTTTGGGAATTTAGTCTATAAAATTCATGGTTATGCCCTTGTTTGAGCATCTGCTGTAAAATTAAAGTTAAATCTTGTTTATTCTTCTTTGCTGTTCACATTCAGATCTCTTTATTCATGTATCTAATAAAAGTGGTAGACTGGTTAAAAACTAAATCTACATAAAGCACATACCATATACTGACTAATTACACCATATGTTTAAAGCAATGTTTCCCCATTGTAAATTTAAACAAAGAAGACACAAACAATAGATTGCACAATTTATTGCCTGGCATATTTAGCTGTATCTCGTCAGGTGTTTACTACAGTAACAATTACATAAATGAAGCAAATAAGTGAACCCTTTATAACTGAAGTACAATTTTAACATTAATCAAACATGACAGCCTTTTTTTTTTACCAGGGCAGCCGCACAATAAGGCTGCCCTGGTAAAAACAGGTAGCATAATAGACCTTCTCAACTTACGACTTATGCAACATATGAATATCTGCACTTACGACACTAAAAAATTAAAAATTAAAATAATTACACTGACAGGGTCAAAAAATTCCCAAAACTGATGCGTAGGTAGAACACAGCAGGGTCAAGATATCAGTCTGTGTGACCCTTCTGCATATGAAGACTCTCTGGAACCGCTGGCCTCCCACTAGCTGGCACCAGTGTTGCCAGATAGGGCTACAATTTGCTAAGTCTCTAATTTAAAAAAATGAGAGCAAAATGATACAGATACACTGAATGTCCACACACACATATGTGTGTGTGTGTGTGTGTGTGTGTGTGTGGAGACATTAGGTGTATCTGTATCAGTTTTCTCTCATTTATTCATATATATAAACAAACATAGCTGCAAAATAATTCATTTTTATGTCTGGTCTACAAATAGTTCAAATCTGCTATTTTAGGAGCACAATCTTGCTACTTTTTCATCTTCAGATCTGGCACTACTGCCTGGCCCTGTCTCTCACTCAGTGGCTTTCAAGCATCAGAAAAAAGAATGTTTAAAAATATAAATTCGACTTATGACCTGTTATTCTAAATGGAACTCGGTCGTAAGTTGAGAAGACCCTGTACTATGTAGTTATGGGGTTGACAACTGGTATTCTTTTGAAGCATCTCCTTTAAAAAGTTTTTTGGTTGCATCTCATACCTCTGTTTACTATGTTTTACACAAATGGCGCCAGAAGTACAGCTATAGTTATTTATAAGCTCATGTGAAAGATGGCAAAATAGACAGCAAGCACAGGAATATGATATGTTCTAAACTCAACAAAGCTCCAAACCAGAATCTCAAATATAAAAAAAAAGTGAGTACAGTGCATAAGAAAGCAATATCATGCCTTTTTGTTCTAGAAGTTTTTCCTCTAGTTCCTGCTTCCAGTCTTCGCTGTCTAATGCTGGATAATTAGATATTCATTAGCAGAATGTTTATTAGTTAACAATCAAAGAAAGAGCACAGCTAAATGTAAGGGTTGGCTATAAATAAAATATGAATAAAATACTATAAATAAAATACTGATGTTTTTTGTGAAACTAGATGTTGTGGGGGAGGGGAGGGGTGTTGTGTGTGGTGGGGGGGGGAGACAATGCTGACAGAAAAGTATGGATGTGCATGTGTGTGTGTGTGCATGCACATGTGTGTGTGTGTAAGGGGGGGGGGGAGAGGCAGTTAAAAGCAGGTCTAATCGTGTATGTGTATGTGATGGCAGATGGCTGAAAACAGCTAGACGGATGTAAGTGTTGGAGAGCAGCTAAAAGCAGGTACAATTATGTAGGTATGTGGTTGCAGATAGAAACATGGGTGTGTGTGCACGTACGTATGTGTGCTTGTGTCTGTGTTTTTTGCTGCGTGTGGAGGCAGGTAGTTAAAAGAGGTCATATGGATAGTTGTGTGCTGTGAAGGAATAATTAAGACACACATACACACAGAGAGAGGGAGAGAGACAGTGTGTATATATAAATATATATGTGTGTGTGTGTGAAAGACCTGGGGGGGGGGGGGGGGCAAATAGTTAAAAGGAGATAGAATTATGTGTGTTTTGGCAAAGGCATAATTAACAGTGTGTGTGTGCACTCACTCACGCAAAGTGTGTGTGGGGAGGGAGCAAAGAAGGATATATATATATATATATATATATATATATATATATATATATATATATATATATATATATATATATATATATATATATATATATATATATATATATTTTTTATATATATATATATATATATATATATATATATATATATATATATATATATATATATATTAGGGCTGTACCGAATATTCACTTCGTATTCGCTTCGGGGCCAAATAGTGGACCTAATAACTATTTGGTAGAATAGTTGCGGTCGGGCTGAATACGAATACTGGTTACCTTACACCCGTTTCTGGACTGGTGGAAAATAAACATGTCAAGATTTCCCACCTTGGTTCATACTGTCTAGCGTTATGTTTGTGCACCACCTACGAGCGTACCAAGTGAACGTCTGTTTAGTACAGCTGGAAATACCTTCAGTGAGACGAGAAGCTGCCTTATTGCTGACAACATGAAACGATTTTGTTTTAAAGCTAATGCCGCTTTCATGGATTAACTAAGCTTTCAGTGACAATTTACAAGTTTGGTTACTTGTTATAAAACTAAGAATACTTTCATTCCTAGGTATTAGTTACCACAGACTGACTGGCTGAAGGATGCAAAACATGAAATGTTTTTAAATGTTTACTATTCTGTACTAAATTTTGTGAAGTACAATTTCAGCGTACATTTGACATTATGGATGTTTTTTTTTAAGATTTATTTTATACACTATTCGAAAGTAGAAGAATGGGCCTCAGTTTGAATAGTGGGAAGACAGAAGTAATGGTGGCATCAGAGAAAATAATTATTCATAAATGTGTAATAAAAGTCAATGGTTTTATTTTGGGACAAGTACAGAAATGTAAGTATCTGGGCACATGGATAACATCAGATGGAAGATGCATTACTGAAATAAGAAACAAAATAAGACAGACAAAAACTGCATTTTATAAAATGAAGAACATCTTATGCAATATATCTTTGTCATTGAAGGTTAGAAAAAAAATTCTTGCTTGATACATACATCCAGTTTTACCATATGGCTGGACTATCGGTAGACAAGCCAAACAATTTCTTGAGGCCTCAGAGATGTGGGTTTTCAGAAGAATAAAAGAATGCTTAAAATACCATTGACAGCCACACACACTCACAAAAAAAGCAACCAAGAGGTTTTGAAAGAAAGGGGAGCCCAAAGACAACTACTCACAGACATCAGAAGGAGACAGTCGTCATTTTTCGGCCATGTTATGAGAAGAGGGAAAGTGGAACATGTGGTGACAACTGGAAAGATCTCTGGAAGGAGGGATAGAGGAAGACAACGAGAGAAGATTCTTGACAGTCTTGTTGCATGGCATGGAGGTGTGTCAGCACACGAACTAATACATGCTGCAGGAGATAGCAGATTGTGGAGAGGCATGATCGCCTACACCAGTCGGCAAAGCACCTGCTGATGATGATTCACTATTTGTATTTGGCTGAATAGTTTGTCCAGCTATTCGTATTCGGCCGAAGAGTGAAAATCACTATTCGGTACAGCCCTAATATATATATATATATATATATATATATATATATATATATATATATATATATATATATATAGAGAGAGAGAGAGAGAGAGAGAGAGAGAGAGAGAGAGAGAGAGAGAGAGAGAGAGAGAGAGAGAGAGAGAGAGAGAGAGAGAGAGAGAGAGGAAGGCAGGTAGTTAAAAGAAGGATGTGAGTGTTTTGGGAAATAATAATTAAGAGCATATGTGCAGAGGATGTAGCAGGTAGTTACTGCAGAGGCTGCTGAAAGTAAAGACAGCAGAAAAATGTGTCTACACAGGTGGCTGAAAGTAAAGACAGCAGAAATATGTGTCTACACAGGTTGTTGAAAGTAAGGACAGCAGAAATATGTGTCTACACAGGTTGCTGAATGTAAAGACAGCAGAAATATGTATCTACACAGGTTGCTGAAAGTAAAGACAGCAGAAATATGTGTCTATACAGGTGGCTGAAAGTAAAGACAGCAGGAAAATGTGTCTACACAGGTGGCTGAAAGTAAAGACAGCAGAAATATGTGTCTACACAGGTGGCTGAAAGTAAAGACAGCAGAAATATTTGTCTACATAGGTGGCTGAAAGTAAAGACAGCAGAAAAATGTGTCTACACAGGTGGCTGAAAGTAAAGACAGCAGAAATATGTGTCTACACAGGTGGCTGAAAGTAAAGACAGCAGACAAATTTGTCTACACAGGTTGCTGAAAGTAAAGACAGCAGAAAAATTTGTCTACACAGGTGGCTGAAAGTAAAGACAGCAGAAAAATGTGTCTACACAGGTTGCTGAAAGTAAAGACAGCAGAAATATTTGTCTACATAGGTGGCTGAAAATAAAGTCAGCACAAATATGTGTCTACACAGGTTGCTGAAAGTAAAGACAGCAGAAAAATGTGTCTATACAGGTGGCTGAAAGTAAAGACAGCAGAAAAATGTGTCTAAACAGGTGGCTGAAAGTAAGGACAGCAGAAATATGTGTCTACACAGGTTGCTGAATGTAAAGATAGCAGAATTATAGGTCTATACAGGTAGCTGAAAGTAAAGACAGCAGAAGTATATGTCCTTGTGGCCAGCTGAAAGTCAAGATAGCAAACACTGACGTGTATTAGAAGAAAAGAAAGTAAAATTAGCAGAAGTATGGGTCCTTGTGGCTTGCTGAGAGTAAAGATATGAGAATTATGTGCCTAAATGGAAAACTGAAAATAAAAGACTGCAGAAAAATGTGCCCCTAGGAAATATGTAACCCAGAATATATTAAAGTATGTAAAAGTAGCATTTTCACACTTCTATGGCAATACATAGCTATGAGGAAAAGGGGGGGGGGGCAGGGGTGAACAGAGACAGGCAGGACTGTCTCTATAAATCTCTCTCTCTCTCAGATATATTTATACATAATGAGGATGGACATGGATAAGCCAATAATAACACTTAAGTCACATTTTTAGCATGTAAAAATCATGTCTTCTCCTCCTCTTCCTTTTTCTACCTCTTACATCTCCTCCCGTTTTCTTTTTAATTACTTCTTATTGTCCTTCTTCTTCCTCCTCTTCCTTCACATTTGTTTTTCATTTTAACTTCTTTTGTTTTCTTCCTAACTTCTTTTCTTTCTCCCTCTTTTCTGAAAACAGCCAATGTTTACTAAAATAAATTTAAAGGAACCTGCAGCCAATCTGGATAAAATAAATCATCATACTATGTCAGTGGCTTCAACAGAAAAAAGGTGGAATACAAGTGGTATTAAATAGGACTATATGTGGGAGTATAACATCAAGAGAGAAAGAAAGAGAAAGACAGACTGAAAAGAATATGTCAGATGGTAGCCTTATGTAGATAGACAGAGCTGCATATTCAATGCTAATGAGCTTCATTGTGCCTAAAGCAACTGAGCTTATCTAGCTCAGTGTAAGAGTCATAAGTTAAAATCCAAAAATATTATAAAAGGTGATTAAAAGGAAAAAGGACAGATTTTACTGCATTTAGTTTACTTCATCTAGTTCAGTCTCTCTCTCTTTCTCTCTCTCTCTCTGCAGAACAATTAGCTATCTGCTGATAGGGACACATAAAGCACAAACTCAGAGAACTCCCCATACTACCTCACCCATCCCTCCCCCCCCCCCCCAAAAAAAAATACCACTGGTGAATTGAAATGTCACAGACTGAGACTAAAGCAACAACTTCTAAAACACAAGGCAAAACAATGGCTTGATCAATCTGTCTAACTGACACCTAGGATACTGGGGGAAATGCCACAATGTCAGGATTGAACCGTAGACCACTATGTTGTCAAAATATGCTACAGGTTCTCTGATGCATGCAAAGACACACATAAATGTGACAGTGAGATGACTAATGACACTTACCTTCCTTGTCCCCTCCAGCGACTCTCAACTGCTGCTCCATCTCCCTTCTAATGTCCTCCTCGGTGATGTTTGAGTCCCCAAAGGCATCACTAACAAACTCATCTTGAGTTGGAGGACTTCCAGCAAAAACCTCCTCCTCAGATTGCTCTTTAGCTGCTGTCTTCACAGCAGGACTGGCTTCTTTAGAAGAGAAAAACATTTGAGAAAACACAGTTGGAACAGCAGAGGGATTCACATGGTTGACTCATTACACAAATATTAGGAGAAAACCAAAAACAATAGGTGGTTTGGATTTGAAGAACAAATGGTTAAATTAAAAAAAAAACTCTTTGCCACCTTTTTTAACAGCAAAAATGGTGTCTATAAGTTTAAAAAAAAAAAAACGAATTCAAAAAAAAAAAAAACATCTGTAAAAATAATTAGAACAATATACTAATTTAGTTGCCTTGTTAACTATACCCCCCCCCCCCCCCCCAAAAAATAGGTGACTTTATTTTGAAGAGAAAAAGCAATATAACAAAGAGAGATTTTTTTAAAGCCAATTTTTTTTTAATTATAAAAAAGAAATATATTTACAAATTGTGTGTGGATCAAATGACTGCAACAAAGAACAGCAATGATAAATATCACAGTAATGACATATGTTAAGTTAAAAGTCACTCTAGCTGTCCCAAACATTACTGCAATAAAAGAAAATGTATGTAAAAGAACTCAAGCATAACAAACCCTTTAGATTAAGATCTAAAACTTATTCACAACAACAACAAAAAAAACAGGGGGGGGGGGGGGGGGGGGGGGGGGGGGGGGGGGGGGGGGGGGGGGGGGGGGGGGGGGGGGGGGGGGGGGGGGGGGGGGGGGGGGGGGGGGGGGGGGGGGGTGGTGGGGGGGTTTGGGGGGGGGGGGGGGGGGGGGGGGGGGGGGGGGGGGGGGGGGGGGGGGGGGGGGGGGGGGGGGGGGGGGGGGAGTACACAGGGAGCAAATAGTGGGAAAAAAAGGATAAAATGCTAAATGGGCACAAAATTGTTGTAAAATTACATTAAGCTACACAAAACTTCAGCATTTGAATCTTTGGATGTCTGTGTAGAGGTGAAAGTTGAAATCAGTGATTGTGTTTTGGTATCTTGTTTCTATCTCTCTGTCAAAATCTCGGCACTGTAAAATGCTTTATATTCTTTAATTCTGACACTCGATCTACTTCTATTTTTCATTTAAATATTTAGTGAGCCTGCATAATTTATGATTTTCATCATTTTAATCATGTAGGTGTTGATTTTCATGTTTTACTTTTTCTGTACTGTTGAAAATCAATATACAGTTTTACTTCTAAGTTTGTTGCACATTCTTTACTGGAGGTTGCAGAACCAACAGAAGCAAATTGTGGCTAGGCACTTATATGTTCGGTAGCTCACTATTGCTTCTGAATGGTCAGCTCTCAATATATTTTCAAAAACCATGCAAACGGGTCTTGTGTCTAATTGTCTACAGCTGAAATCAAATCAGGTACCTAAAAATTATGAAGCAAATTTATATTAATTAAACTTCAGACAACAACATACTTCATAATATTAGACAAAAATCTTGTGATCTGAAAAAAGTAGTTAGATGAGTGAGTTGTTTTGGTTTACTCTGCAATCTGGTTCCACATCAACAGAATCTTCCAATACATGTTCTGAAAGACTATGCAGAAGTAACAGGTGAGTCACTACTACCACTTCCTGACTATTCCAAAACCAACAAACACATCATGTGTTGATTTATAACTAATTTAGTGTCCTCTAGTACCAAAAGAGGTAAGATTAGGCATCTTGCATTCACTGGGTTTTTATGTGGGAAACTATGAACGCATGATGTGTTCTTTGTGATTGAAAGAGTTGAAGGAATACGAAACAACCTTTCAAACTAATGTTTGTTGGTGGGCATGCTTACCTCTCTGCTGTTGCTCACTTCCTGTGGATGACCTTCTAGAACTGCTGCTGGAGCTTTTACCTGAAGCCAAATACAACATTCAATACAGCAGAAAATAAAGAGGCGGAGGGGAAGCTTCTCAAAGATTTGTGAATTAAATAAAAATACACATATAATATTCAAGCATAAACATAGCCCACAGTTTTTTAAGTACACTCATGCAGCACTTTTACATTTAATGGATAATAGAAGCAATGGACAGAATCTGGATTTATTATTTTTCAGTGTAAAAGGCATGTGCCCCATGGATGGAGTTGAAAAAAAGCTGCTGCTCTGAAAGCGAGTGCAAGCCTCGACTGTGTTTACACTGGAGGAAGCAAAACACTTATCATTTTTTGATACTTTTCTGCTGCAGTCTTGCAGTTTAGCTCTAATGATTACTCCAAATGTTCTAAATTAATGCCACTTGGAGGGAAAGAAGCGAAGTGGAAAAGATAAATCTAACTGCAACACAAAAGCTTCAAAAAACTAAGATGGCAAATATTTTAAGGCATGTATCTGAGTATTATTATCCCTCTTCTTTTTGTAATGTAACTGGTGACCATTTTAAATGACTATGAACAATCACTAACATAAGGCAGATGTTCCCAGCTTTATGTCCATTAAAATGAAGTGCGAGTGTATTAGATATCACGTTATGGTTAGAGAAAACTGTTCAAAGACAGAATCTTATCAGGGGATGCATAATTATTCCAAAATGTATTTTAACTTTAAAAAAAAAATGTCAAAATGACTGGAGTAAAATAATTTAAAGTTTTTATTTCAGGTGAGTACATACATAATGTCTTAAGTCATGCAGTAACAAGCTAGTTTGTTGGTTTCAGCCGATATAATGTATTTTATTTATAAAATCAGGCTGCGCTATTTGGTTAAGACAGACGTTTTCCAAAAATGATCTTATTTCCCAGCCTTGAGTTGGTACAAGGAAAAGTCCTGAGAGGTCAAGGTGGCCGGCGTGATCACACACTGAGTGCCAACTTGTCTGTAAAATACAAGTCTAAAATTTACCCAATACCCCTGAAGATGTGGAAAAGGGTCCTTTACAACTTATTAGCCCCAATTCTTATACTAACTCCTCCTTGTAAGTAAAGGACTCTTCAAGCCAGCGGTGCATCGAGCACACGATACCAGACTCACTGTTGTTAGACCAACAGGCACCATTAGGTGATGAGATCAACATCACACCAGCCACATTTACTTCCCAGGACATTATCTAGTACTCTTTTTTTTTAAATTGGCCGGTCATTCATAATTCTTACAAGACAATTTGAGCAACGTACCGGGTGCAGTCCAAGGAAGTAAAGGCGGCCAGCGTGATGCTAACCATATCACCTACATTGTGCCGATTGGTCTATAAAATATAGGTTTAGCCCTAAATGCCCTATATGCCTAAAGGTGTGGAAAAGGGTGTTTTACTTTTAAAAAAAAAAACTTTTTTACATTTGATCAACAAAGTGCATGATTGGTGTGGTCCTCTCCACTGGTGGCTAGCAGTTCTGCTGAGACCGTTCTATATGGGTTAAAGCCTGGTGCAATGAAGCTATAAACCTTTGAATACATAGTTTACCTGATACATAATTATCATAAAACCATAAGTACAGACCAAGTGAATTTTCAGGCGCTCCAAACATATTAATCATTTAAATTCTTAAAGCTAAACAAAATGAATGTGCACACTATAACTGTCCATGTTTTAGACCACACTATTAAACTTGCAACCTCTTAGTTGAACAGCACTGTTTTAGACTCCCAGAGACAATACAATGACAGAACTGACCTGACTGGTGTGCCATAGAAGAGTTCAGCTGACTTGACTGTCTTATGAGAGAGACCCTGTAGAAATAGTTTCTCCAAAATGTCTCCTCATTGACCCTTCAGAGAGAGGACAAAGGAGAATTATTATCAAAATAAACCTATCAATAGAAAGTTACTTAAATAATTACTAATAAACTAAAAACATTCATTAACTGGTGCCCCTAGGTGACACATAGAGCTTTGGTAGAGAACTAAACAAATTCCAGTGAAGAGGTGAGGAAAAGACACTTTAGTTGGATAGGACACACAATGAGAAAACTGAACAATACAACTAGAATGTTCATACAAGGTAACCTACAGGGGAAGAGAATCACAGATTGAGGTGAAAAAGACAGGCAGGATAAGGAGTGAGCTGCAGGCAATGGCAACGGATAGGCAAATTTTGGGTAACTATCAAAATACAAAATGTCATTTTCTTATAACACAAATAGATCTAGTGTACCTCTCCTTAATATACAGATTAGTAACTTCAAACAGATTGCTCACGTCTGCATGGTTAAAACTTCACTCTTTATTTATTAAATTCTGGACTTCATGACTTGGAAGTGGAAAAATGAGGTTGGTTTGAAACCAGAACTGAACTGATCAGAAAATACAAATTTCCCTCTCCTCTTGTCTGCTCCAGAAATACTCTCTCGACAGGCAAATGCGCCAACGATTGTGCCACTGAGGCTCCAGATTATGTTGTAGCAGAGGAAACAAATTTCCAGATTAACCAAAAGTGAAATTACCTTAGGATAAAAACAAACTCACAATTTAGGCACCAAACCAAATCTCATTTTCTGCAGGTTTGGATCTTCCTGCAAGGTTGCCAAAGCAACAGGATATGCGCTGCTGAAATCAAAGTGGAACTGCACACCAGACGGAGGGTTTCTGACAAAGTTCCGCTTGTCCTGAAACAGTCATGTGAGATGGGCAAGTGGTAATCACAAAAAGCAAAACACAGTGGGGGTGTATTAGATGCTTATTAGATGTGTATTGGACTTTAGGCAGACCAAAAGGTGTCTCATCCTATCAAAGTGGGAAGAGCTTGTGTTTCTCAATAACTGTGAGAACTAAGCCAGCGGTAACATGACTACCAGCAGAGCCTCCCAAGCTGGACAGGTCAAAGGGTAGAGGACAAGGGGAGACACCCTGGTCATCCAGGTTGAAGGGCTGACAACTCCCCACCCCACCCCCTTGTAAAAATTAATTTTTATGAGAGAAAACAGATATCTAATGCCTCAAATTTGGAAGGTCCCCATGTGGGTTCTGCATCCGCATTTTAGAGGGGGGTAAAAATAACTGACCCCCCCCCCCCCCCCCCCCCTTCCAACAAGGGTGCTGCAAAAGTTAACAAATTAGGGATTTTCCTTTGAAGTCAGAATGTATCTATCTAAGAGGTGAGGAACAAGCAGTCTGCATACATGTAAGCCAGATCTGTAAAACAAATGAGTATGCAAAACCAAATTCTGATATAAGATTTCAGTCCAGAAAAGCAATCAGAACTTTCCGCCAGAGTTTACAGCTGGTGAACATTAATGAAGAAATTCAAAAGTATCCCCCAAAAAAGTTTACATAAAAGGGTTTGTATGAGTACAGACCACAGGGCAGACCAAGAAGAAGGTGGAGAGATCTATACCGGCAAACCTACAAACACATGGTGTCACTAATCGGAAAGAGTGGGCCAATCACAGAGACGAACTGAGGCAGGTGATATTAGAATCAATGAACCTCAAGAGCTTGGAATGCTGAAGAAGACAAATAAGATAAGTTTAAAAATATATGCGGGGTAATATGGTCAGAACTCGCTTGCATAGCAATGCTCACTGGTGCACATGAAGAACAGTTGGTTACATATGGCACACTGCTTTGGCGAGAAAGAAAGAGTTGAAGAATATGTAAACGAAGATTTGATATTTTTTTAAAGTATTTAAGCCTCTTTCAAAACCGATATAAATTATTAAGTTTTGGCTACCCAAAGAATTTTCAGCATTTTTTGTAATACATATTTTGGAGGTCTCAAGAGATTTTTGGCTTGTCCAGGTTTCACAGAGCACACATGCAATCAATAAATAAATATTCTGCAAAAAAAAAAAAAAAAAAATCAAATAATATACTACAAATGAGTTAAAATAGACTACAACAAAAAAGAGTTTTAAAAGAACAACACAAAATGAGTTAAACAGAAAAACACAAACAATACTACAGAGCTTGATGAAATGGAATTCCAACACTGAGTTAAAACACAATAAAATGAAGTCAGTTAAAATTCTCAAAAAAAAAAAAGGGAATACCACAAAATTATGTAACAGAAAATACAAATACACAGAATAACACAAATTTGAGTTAAACCAATACAACAGAATTTGTAAATATATCCAAACTGTGTCAACTCTTCTGTACCAAGTCTATAACTACTTTAACTCTTTATATCCCGAAAAGTTTTACTTTAATGTAGCAAATGCTTGTGAGGAAAGACGTAACAAAAATAATAACATTTTGGGCAGAATAAGTACAATCAACAGTCATAAAATTAAAGAGATAATGTAATAACTGTCACTGTTAAAGAAAATGGGTTCTGTTTTCAGACTAACTAATGAAAGTGTGACAAGTTGCATGTTACAGAAAGAGTTAATGAAGAATGCTACAAAATCCCCTTTAAAAAAATTACCTAAAACAGAATGCAAGTCTCCCTATGTGGGTTTCAAATGTGCGGAAAACAAGAATAGAACCACTGATCCCAAAAAGCATGTAGTATGAGTCGACTAATTGGGGGGCCTCCTTCAAATTCAGAGAGAATTGCCAAAGAGGCAAGGAACCAACAGTCTGTTCACAAATAAACCAGATCTGTAAAACAGGGGTACAGGTGGATCTCAGGTTCTAGAACAAGACTAAAACCTAGAGGCGGTAGAAGAAGCATAACTTTCCGCTGGAGTTTACAGCCAGTGACAGTGAAGAAGAAGAAGAATGCGATACAATAAGTTAAAATAAAAGACCAACCTGAGACAAGGCCAATATCTGTGTCTTCAATTCCTCCTCATCATTGTAACCAACCCAAGGGGGAACTGCAGCCTCTTCACTCTTGGCTTTCTCCTTTTTCTCTTCTACAAACTTGTCCTGCTCACGTGTGAAGTCACCAAGGATGGTCTGTAAATGCAAGGCAGGGGAAAGTGGTAAGACAATCAACATCTTTTTTATCTTCTTTACTTCTCCTTCTTCTTCTTCTTCCTTTACTTCTTCTTCTAATTTTTCTTACTCCCGTACTTCTTCTTTGACTTCTTCTTCCTTGATTTCTTTTACTTCTTCCTTGACCTTCTTCTTCCTTGACTTCTTTTTCTTCTTCTTCCTTTACTATTTCTTCTTCTTCCTTTACTATTTCTTTCTTTACTTATTCTTTGTTTTTTTACTACTTCTTCTTCTTCTTCCATTACTTCTCCTTCTTTTCCCTCTTCTTCATCTTCCTTGACCTCTTCTTCTTCCTACTTTACTTCTTCTTCCTCCTTAACTTCTTCCTTCTCCTTTATTCTTCTTTTACTTTTTCTTACTCCTTTACTTCTGTTTCTTCATTTCTTCTTCCTTTATTTCTTCTTCCTGTGCTACTACTACTTTTTCTTCTGTCTTTATCTCCAAAATGGAACAAAGGCCCTCAACCAACTCAGGCTAAGCTGTGTTATCCTAGAAACAACAGATGTCTACACAATGTTCAAGTCCTGCAACAAGTTACAATTTCACAAGTGGATGAACAACCAGGATTTTCTGCTAGAATCTACAGCCAGTGAATGCAAAGAGGAAGCATAAGAATAAGGTTCTATCTATTGCTACTGTGTGCGACTCACCCCACATCCTTGCCATACTTGACACTTCACTCTCTACACTTCATTTTGTGGCAAGACAATTTTAGTGAGCTGAGATAAATGTTTTTTAAATATACACTGCTATTCATAACTGCTCTAAAGTTGGCTCAAAGTAACAACAAAATGTACAGACAAGGAAGTGTTTACTCTTTGTAACAGCTTGCCTCCACAGCAAAAATAGCTTCACTACATAAACATTCAAGAAGTAAATAATAAAGAGGGGAAAAATAACATTCAAAACAGTCCAATATTTGCACTGATCAGGACACCCCCCCCCCCTTTCCACCCCACACACACAAAATATGAAGAGTGGACACAATCAATGACATGTGTCCCCTATAATCCTTTCTTAAAATGGATGACCGTGTTATGCATTCAAAGTGGTGGTCTCTCTCAGCAGTATTTCAGCATGCCATATATACAGTTTTTATTATGTTGAATCCCATCTCAACAGCATTTCAGCATGCCCTACATCCAGTATATGTTATAAAGGTAAGGTCGGGAGATGTGCACCAGCGTAACTGCACATGGTTATAAACCATAAGTGCTCTGCCACCAGTACGGACAGCTGATAAGAAACTGTCCGCCTGTGTCACCGTCCGCACACAACTCTGTAGCTACAGCGACGTTCCTCCATTTACCCCTGAGTGTTAACTTTGGTACCCATTACCTAGAGTCTGGATGAACCCCGGCTCAGCAATATTTCAGCACGCCATACATACAGTATTTGTTATGTTTAGTTCTATCTCAGCAGCATTTTAGCATGCCACATATACCGTATTTGTTACATTTTATACAACAGCTAGATGATTCTCTGGAGCTAAGTTCTAGTATCATGTAAATTCTATCAGAATAACATGTATAATACAAATATCCAAACCTACCTTTTCTTCAACCGTGTGCTTAATTTTGGTGGCTGTTTCAGCCACAGTTTTCCCAGCAGCTTTACCAAAGCTAAAAAGAATATCTACAAACAGATCAAAGTAAAAAGGAATTAAACATGACCCTAGCTTCTGTAAAATAAATAGGTAGAGAAAGTGAAAAAAAAAATTTATTAAAGTGAACAGATGTGCTTGGACACACATGCATGCACACACAAACAGACACATGCACATTTGCATTATTACTATCAAATTCATAGCATTTCTATGAGGGTTCTGGAGTCCCATTATGTGGAAAGAAAAGAACAGACCCACTGCCTCCTAACAAGCATGTCGTAAGAGTCAACTAATTAGCAATGTTTCCTTCAAGTCGGAGTGTGGATACGTGACTCCTTGAATATGCTAACTGTGGCTGCCACATGTACAACAAATTTAAAATTGGCCAATCGGCCATGTGTACTTGTGGACTGGCACCTGAGACAACAGATCACATCCTCCAAGACTGTCCCAGATTCAATGCTTTCAGGCAAAACTTCTGGCCAGAAGAGACACTTGTGGAAGTCAAACTTTACAGGCCGCTTAGCGAATTACAAAAGACAGTGAAATTCATACTAGAAACAGCTTTGCAGATATAGATAATTTATTTCATGTGAACGAAAGAAGAAGAAGAAGAAGAAGCTTACTGTGGCTGTAATGTCAGAGTATGATAAACATCGGCGCAAGTCAAACTTTACTGGTCGCTGAGTGAATTACAAAAGACAGTGAAGTTCAAACTGGAGACAACATTGCATATATAGATATTTTATTTCAAGCGAACGAAAGAAGAAGTCCATGAACTGTTTGGTTGGAAACCTGAATCATCCCTGCTTTGTTGTTTGTCAGTGGTTATCTCCTAATCTCACCAGAATGACCTTATTTTCAACCAGAACTGATAATAATATTATTGTCCAATAATGTTGACATTAAATGCCGGTCTCCTTCTTTGCAACTCTATCAGATATAGTAGGTCTCTTCAGTCTGCTAGCATGTCATCACCACCTGAAACCTAGTGCACTCATTCTTCTTCTTCACGTTCACTGATGTAAACTCTGGCAGAAAGAAAGTTTTAGTTGTGGCTTTAGTCTTGTTGCAGAACTTGAGTTTTACATATGTGGCTTATTTGCCACATTTAAAAAA